TTAAATAATTTGACTTGGTATTGGGTTTGAGCTGGACTTAGGTTAGCATAGAATCAACCTAATCCTAGCTAAACCCAAACCCAAATATGATTGATTTAACCCAAACCTAAATTCAACCTAATACGACCCAAACCCAAATACAACCCATTCCAAACCTAAAGCCAATTGAACCCAAACTGTACCAAACCAAACCTAATTTGACCCGAAATTAATTATCCAAACTGAACCCTACCTAACCTAAACCTAACCCAGTTCGACCCGAACACAGTTGAGCCCAAAATGAACCCAACAAAACCTAAATCCATCCCAGTTTGACCTGACCTGACTCGAAACCAACTAAACAAAAACTGAAACAAATTAAACCTAAACCTAATCCAGTCTGATTCAACTCAAGCTGAAACCAAATTGTATGGAACCAAACCTAAAACTATCTCATTTTGATTCAACCCAAACTAAATCCAACTGAAACATAAACTGATCCCAACCAATCCTAAACTTTATCCAACCTGATTTGAGTTAACATTAACTAATCTTGGCCATCCATAGCTAACCTTGGCCAACCTTAACTAAAAATCATATCTCACCCCAACCCAAGCTTAATTCTTATTAAGTCTAATTCATGTGTAGGGATTCATGTGTAGTGATTCATATGTAGCACTTCATATATAATAATTCATCTTTCATGTTCATAACATACCATGCTCAGTTTTTTATATGTGTAAAAAAAAAATAAATAAATGGATATGAAAAAATGAGGGGAATCACTTACATTCAGGTTCTCCCCATGAACACTTACTATGACCTAAAGTTGCAAAACTTCAAATACTAAGCACCAAATCTTAAGTACAAATTCAAACGAAGAACATCAACCTAGAAAACCATCTGCAAAATTTTAAAGTTAGGAAAAGCTTGATTTTCATATCAACTAACAAACCTAGAAGTTGAAACAAACCATGAAATAAATATTGAACTTCAAACAAAATTCTAAAGTCCATTAACATAAAGAAAGAAAACCAAACTTAGACAGATCTGACATGAACTCTAGACTAGCTAACATATACACAAGAACCAAGGATCATAGACATCTCAAGGTTAGTCTAAGTGCGTAAGCTTATCTTAGTTTAACAAGTATCCTAATTAGTGTTAAGGACTTGAACATAAGAAACAAACAACCTTAGCCCTTGAAACTAAAAGAAATGCCTTAGAATGAAGTAACTCATGGTTACCGACAAAAACATTTCTAACCTTCTTAAAACTAAACAACCCTCCACATGCCATGAAAAAGGTGTTTAAGGAGGATTTTTACTTATATGGATTGTTATAGTTCAAGGACACCAACACACCTAGAACGATGGAAAGTCATTGTCATCTTGACCAGGGGCATTATTCCTAACGTCTAGGTTAGTCCAACTATTTGGATTCCTTATAAAGTCTAGATGTGTTCTGAAATTAGGGTTTCACCTCTATCTAAAAATCCTTCGTTCCTAACTTTGTCCTTTATTTTAGAAATTCCTTCAAACTCAAAAAACTTCAAACCAATCTTTCTAGCTCGTGTTTTGAATTCACACCTCCAAACTTGAACTCTCATACCAAACTCACTTGATTTCATATCATCCAACTTGTTTTCAATCTTATCGATACCAATTAATTTCAAACTGTTCAATCACCAGTAACAATTTGATCCTTTGCATAGATCTTTCTCCCTGCATGGTTAAATCTCTTTATCTAGGCTTTTTTTTCTTGACACACTATCACAAAACTATAAGTTTCATCCTTTTGAGTTTAAGATTTCTAAACTTTAAACTTAAATCCCTCGTTACTTTTGAATTCTTAAATTTGAAAGTTCAACCTTGTAATATAACTAACTTAGATCATTATATTAATCAAAAGTTTTGTTTAGAGCTCAAGACTCTGAAGATTTAATTAACTATGAGGGTTTGCCCTTTTAGGGATAGTAGAGCCCAAAATAAAATAAATCTTATCTTACACCAGTAAGGTAAGGAAAAATTCCTACTCCGTAGATCTACGAAGCTTTTCATCATCTAAATGATTAGACCAATTTTTATATAGTATATCCTCCCCTCGAAATGGTTTATTATTTTTTTACAGGTTTTGCTCATTCATATAGAGAGAAGCCTTCCAAAGTTTAATGGTGGACACATCAACACAAATCTCCCTCCAATGGGCTTTACAGTTAGTTTGAATAACCATTTTTGGATTTACAATATTACTAAATACTTAAAAGTGAAATTCGTATTTGCATAGGTTCATGATGCTAAAGTTTTGTAAAGATAAATGTCAATTTTTGGTGTTTGGCATGTAAATACTTAAGAATTATGTGGTATATATATCTAAATTACTTTAACTTTTAGTTAATCATACCAATTTAAGTTTCTAATACCCAAACCTTTTTTGTATATTATTAGCACTCAAATATTTAACTTCACATAGAAAACATTATTATCAATTTTTTAAAGATAAAATAATGTTAAATTTAACCATCAAATATGTTAAAATAAAAATATTATAGGAAGCTTTAAATACCTGACACTGAATTCCTATATATTTACAAAGTTAACAACTAAGCTTCAATTACGAAGTCAAAGTGCTGCTATTTGAAACTTTGAGAGTCAACTGGGACAAATTGCTAACGTACTTAGCAATAGTCGTCTGGGAGCACTCAACACTACTGCACAAATTGGAACAAACTTAAGGTTAGCCAATGTTTTTTGCTAGCACCGAGAGGGGGCAAAGAGTAAGTATACTCATATTTGTCACAATATAATATTTTATATTTTTAGTCATTCCATTGCTACACGGATTAAGATCTTTTTAAAAGGGGAAAATCTTTTCTTAATAGTGAACTCTTTTAAACATTATTAGTATTTTAAACTTTGTTCTTACATTCTGCTTAAATTTATACTGCACATAAATTTAGTTTTAATCTTTTACAAATATTTTGACACCATTCTCATTCTCCTATCATTTTTATCTACCAATTTAGATAGATGTTTTTCTAAGTCATTATTAAAAAGTTTCAGCTTTTCATGTGAGTTTGATACTTGGGTTTTTAAAGAAAGTATTATATTACTCGGAACGATACGTATACTTGCGTAGTACCAATTTCTTCTCTAAATCAATTTAGTTATTCACATTAGCAGCTAAATATAATTTGAGCTAAGTTTTTGACAATCTTTTAGAATAAAAATATATGCGTAATTGCAGGTTCGGTCAACGAACTATAAGCTAGCCAACATAAACACATTAATCAAGGATCACACACACCCTTAGGTTAGTCTAAGTATAGAAGCCTAGGTTAGTTTAAAAATAATTCTAATTAGTTTTAAGGACTTGGACATAAGAAACAAACAACCTTACCCCCCTAAAATTAAAGGAAATATCCTAGTATGAAGTAACCCATGGTTACAGACAAAAACATTTCTACCACCTTAAAAGTAAAAAACCCTTCACATGTCATGACAATAGTATTTAAGGATGATTTCTAGTTATAAGGTTTGTTATTGTTTAAGGACACCAACACACCAAGATTGATGGAAAGTCATGGGCATCTTGACCAGGGGTGTTATTTGTAACATCTAAGTTAGTCCACATATTTGGATTACTTATATAGTCTAAGTGTGTTCCAAAATTAGTGTTTCACCTCCATCTAGAAATCCTTCCTACCCAACTTCAACCTTTAGTTTAGGAATTCCTTCAAACTAAAAAAACTTCAAACCAATCATTCAACTCGTGCTTCGATTTTAAACCTCCAAACTTGAACTCTCATACCAAACTCACTTCACTTCATCTCGTCCAACTTGTTTCCAATTCTTTTCAATCTTACCGATACTGATTAATTTCAAAATCCTCAATTGCCACTAAAAATTCAATCCTTTGGATAAACCTTCCTCCGTGGATGGTTAAATCTCGTTGTTTTAGCTTTTTCATGACACATTGTCATGGAACTGCAAGTCACATCCCTTTGAGTTTAATTCTTCCAAAAAATAAACTTGGATCCCCCGTCACATTTGACTTCTAAAAATTGAAAGTCCAACCTTGCAATATGGGTAATATAGGTCATTAAACTAATCAAGAGTTTTGTTTAGGGCCACGACTCTTAAGATTTAATTAACTATGAGGGTTTGCCCTTACAGGGATACTGGAGCTCAAAATAAAATAAATCTTATCTTACACCCATAAGTTAAGGAAAAAACCTTACTCCAAAGATTTTCTTCATTTGAATCAGACCCATTTTAATATAGCATTTCCTCCTCTCGGGGTGTTCTAATATTTTTTACAGCTCTTGCTCAGTCATTTAGAGAGAAGTCTTCCAAAGTTTTATGGTGGACATATGAACATAAAAATTTCCCTCCAATGGGCTTTACAATTATTTTGAATATCCATTTTTGAATGTACACCAGTACAAAATATTTAAAAGTGAAATTCATATTTTCATACGGTCATGACGCCAAAGTCTTATAAATATAAATGTTAAGTTTCTTACGTTTGGCGTGTAAATACTTTAAGAATTATGTGGTATGTATCTAATTTTTTTTTTTAAACTTTTAGTTAATTTATAGAAAAACCACCTAAATCCAACATATTTAAGTTTCTAATAAGTAAACCTTACCATTCAAATATTTAATATCACATAAAAACATTATTATTAATTTTTTAAAGATAAAATAATGTTAAATTTAACTATTAAATATGTTAATATAAAAAAAAAATTATAGGAAGCTTTAAATACCTGCCACAGAATTCCTATATATTTACAATTTTAACTAAGCTTCAATTTTTTACATTCCCACCATTGCCTTATATATATGCATGAAAAAATTAATTCACTTTTAAAAGCGAAAATAAAAGATTTGTGGTATAAATATAGAAATTAAAATTCAGATATTATAAATGTAACAAGATAAAAATTCGTTGGTATGTATGTAAATGCCCAAAAATTATATGATAAGTCATAAATAAATAAAAGTACTCCCTTGAAATAAAATCTCCGAAACTCTATCAAACCAACCATTTCTTCTTGTAGAATGACCATCGGTTGAATCGTCGTGCATCCTATGCCACGTAGATGCTGTTTCTCCTTTCGCCCATTAAATTTACGGCCTTGTTAAGTTCACCCTTCTCCCCATCCGCTAATCTCCTCCTCTTTCGGCTCTTCAACTCTTCTACTGCTGCCTCTCCATGGTTTCCACTCCTCCGTGCCGCCGCCATCTCAGGCGACCCCCACCTCCTCCTCCGCTCTCACGCTACCATCGTCACCTCCGGTGCCGGCTCCGACCGGTTCCTCTCAAACAATCTCATCACAGCTTACTCACGTTGCGGGTCTCTCACATTCGCCCGTCAACTATTCGACAGAATGCTGCACCGGGATTCCGTCACCTGGAACTCCCTTATTTCTGCATACGCACTCCACGGCCTGACCTCCGATGGTATAGCTGTCTTCAATCTCATGCTTTGCTCGAGTGTGCCGCCTACTCATCTAACCCTTACTCCCCTCCTTAAGCTTTGCTCGGGTTCACGGGACCTGCTCCCTATATTGCAGTCCATTCATGGTTATTCTGCTAGGATTGGCTTGGACTCGGATGCGCTGGTTTCAAGCGCTTTGGTCGGTTCTTATTCCAAAGTTGGATTTTTGGATTATGCCCGTTATCTGTTCGATAGAATGGCAGATAGAGATGTTGTGCTCTGGAATGTGATGATTAAGGGGTATGCTCAAATGGGCTTAGCAAAAGATTCATTTTCTTTGTTTGCCAAGCTACATGGGAGCTGTGATCTTCGTCCAGATGCCATCAGTGTCCACTGCACCCTGATGGGCATGGTGTCCGGCAATAGGTTTGAGCAAGTGCAGGCTTATGGGATTAAATCCTCCCTTTTTGATGAAAAGTATGATGTAATAGCATGGAATAAGATCATGTCTGACTACGCCAAGGCTGGCAATGATGGTGCAGTGTATTGCTTTTTAGAGATGAAGAGGCGTGATGTGAAATATGATCATGTATCACTTGTTATTGTTCTAAGTTCCATTACATTACAAGAGTCTTCTGATGTTGGTGGACAGATTCATGCTTTGGCAATAAAGTCTGGATTTTGTTTGGATGTCTCTGTTATGAATAATCTTGTCAATATGTACTCCAAGATGGGCAATTTTAAATATGCTATGAAAGTGTTTGATGAGATCGATGATTTGGATTTAATTTCATGGAATTCATTGATCTCTGGTGCTGCACAGAATTGTTTGTCAGAAATATCAGTCGAGATCTTCATGGATATGTCTAAGTGTGGCATTCTTGCTGATCCGTTTACTTTGGCAAGTATTTTACAGGCAAGCGTAGCATTAACCCAAGCCTCATCTTTACATGAACAGATTCATGCCCTTGCAATCAGAATGTGTCTGCTTGATGATATATTTGTATTGACGGCTTTAATTGATGCTTATGCAAAGAAGGGATTTGTGGTAGAGGCAGAGTCCATTTTCAATGACATGGACTGCTTTGATTTAACTTCCTTCAATGCTCTTCTTACTGGTTATATAACAAACAATGCCAGTCACAAAGCCTTGCATCTTCTCTCTTCCTCACATAAAAGTGGCGAGAGATCCGATCATTTCACTTTAGCTACCATCCTGAAGGCTTGTAGCAGTTTAGTTTATGTAGAATGCGGCAAACAAGTTCATTCCTATTCAATAAAGCTTGGTTTTGACTCCGACTTGTGTTTAAGTAGCGGGTTAGTGGATATGTATGTCAAGTGTGGCAATGTTAAAGATGCTTCTGCCGTTTTTGAAGACATATCTGGACCTGATAATGTTGCTTGGACAGCAATAATTTCTGGCTGTGTGGAGAATGGTGATGAGGACCAAGCTCTTCAGTTTTATCTTCTGATGAGGCGGTCTAGGGCACTGCCTGATGAATTCACCGTGGCCTCGTTATTCAAAGCTTGTTCTTGCCTGTCTGTTATGGGTCTGGGAAAACAAATCCATTCGGATGCAATCAAATTAAACTGTGCATGTGATTCTTTTGTTAGCACTTCCGTCTTGGACATGTATGCAAAGTGTGGTAATATAGATGACTGTTTTCTTTTATTTAACAGGATGAACTCAAAAAGTACAGCTACATGGAATGCCATGATATTGGGTTTTGCTCAGCATGGAGAAGGAAATGCTGCCCTCAACCTTTTCAAAAGAATGGAGTTGGATGGAATAAAACCTGATAAAATTACCTTCATTGGCGCCATTTCTGCTTGCAGCCATGCAGGCCTGGTTTCAGAGGCATATAACTATTTCAAAACAATGAGCAGAGATTATGGCATCAAGCCAGAAGTAGAGCACTATTCTTGTTTAGTAGATGTGCTTGGGCGAGCTGGGCTGCTCATTGAAGCAGAAGAAGTCATCAAGAAAATGCCTTTTGAACCTTCAGCATCTATGCTGAGGGCTTTGCTTGGTGCCTGCAGAATCAGGGGCAACAAAGAAATAGGACAACGGGTGGCTACGAATCTACTGGAATTGGACCCAAGTGACGCTTCTGCTTATGTTCTTCTATCCAATCTGTATGCTTCTGCCAACCAATGGGATGAAGTGAATGCTGCAAGGAATAACATGAAGAGAAGAAATGTGAAGAAGGACCCTGGATATAGTTGGATTGAGGAGAAACAAAAAGTGCATTTATTCGTAGTTGATGATAGATCCCACCCCGAAGCAGCTGCTATATATGATGAACTTGAGGATTTGATGCAAAGGATAAAGGATGAGGGTTATGTTCCTGATACTGAGTTTGTGCTTTTGGATGTTGAAGAAGAGGAAAAAGAACGCTCCCTTTATTATCACAGCGAGAAGTTGGCAATTGCTTATGGTCTCATCAGCACGCCCCCACCACTGACAATTCGTGTAATAAAGAATCTTCGTGTCTGTGGTGACTGCCATAATGCCATCAAGTATATGTCAAAAGTTACTGGGCGGGAGATTGTATTGAGGGATGCAAATCGCTTCCATTGTTTTCGAGGTGGGGTGTGTACATGTGGTGATTATTGGTAGTGACAACCGACCCTTTTTCTTTTTGGATATATAAAGTAATGACACCTTTTTTTTTACCCCTTTTTCTTTTTGGATATATAAAGTAATGACACCTTTTTTTTTTACTACACCTTTTTTTTTACTATATATATATTAAATTAAGTTTTGATGCGTCTTTTATTATTTATTTATTATTTTATTTGAAGATTTATGTTGTTTTCTAATATTGTATAAAAAAAATGCAAGAGTTCCTTTTGTTTTTTTTTTTGTTTAGAGATAGAGGTAAAATTAATTTAAATTAAAAAAAAAATCTTTCAGAGATATGATATCTATGTCGTTGGAGGTGAATGAGTTCATGCTAACGTAAATTTTTAAAAAAAAATGTTTCAGCGAGATGATATCTGTTGTTGGAGGTCAATGAGTTCATATTAAGGTGAAGACTATCACGGAGAGAGATTGATGTTAGCAAAATCATGCTAAAAGAGGGATGGAGATTGTTGGAGGTCAATGAGTTCATATTAAGGTGAAGACTACCACGGAGCTAAAAGAGGGATGGAGATTTGAGGTAATGTTCGTGTGGAGGTCATGAAGGTCATATTGGCATGCCGCTCGGGTCTCACGAAGGAGCTCATGGGTTTGGTGGGTACGGCGGACGTTACATGTGGGTGTTTGCTTACTACAAAAATTTCTAAATTAAACTATATTTAAATGAATATTTTAAATTAAACATTAAGATTTAAATCTTGGCCTTACTTCAGACATTCTAAGAATGTGTGACTAAGATTATCAAAATGACTAGTTCGTGAACAACTCGTGTTTGGCTAGTTAAGCAAACGAGACGAACACAAACATATTTTTTGAGCTCGATGTATAAACGAGCCAGACTTGAACAGTGGTATTTTTTAAACTTGGGTTTACTCAAGCTCGGCTCATTTACACCCCTAGTCTTAAGTGAGGCACAAGCTAAAAACATATTTTTTGAGCTCGATGTATAAACGAGCCAAACTTGAACAGTGGTATTTTTTAAACTTGGGTTCACTCAAGCTCGGCTCATTTACACCCCTACTCTTAAGTGAGGCACAAGCTAGCCTTAGGCATCACTAAATGGGCGCTTACTTTCTGGCTTCTATGTCTTAGCTGGTATGAACCCATGCTTGGGCGCCTAAGCGCTGCCTGGCAGTTGCCTAGGCACTTCTCCTACACTTAGCACCAATCTCCTTCATATCATTTCCCATAAGCCTTCTTACCTACATCCTGCAAATTACATCGCAAACACCATCTAATAATGTAAAATTAACATAAAATTAGATTAAAACCAAAAAAATAAAATCACATTTCAAATACACATCATATTCTCCAAAATTATAAGTTATTTGTTCTAAAGTAATTTTATATCTAAAATTAGAACGAATTGAACAATTTAGTAGCTTTCATTTTAAGAATTACTTATTATTAAAAAATTTCATATAATTAAATATAAACATGCAAATATTATTAAAGAACCGGGTTTCTATTAATTCATAATAATTTACCATTTCGTAAATTGTCATTCCCAAGCATAAAGAAATCTAAAACACTTAATTCAATTTGGCTTAAATAAATTCATTAATCAAAGAAAGATAACTCAAATCAAACGGAATTAACAATAAAATTTCTCCAATGTTCATTAATTTTCTCTCGAGTGTATTATTAGAGAATCTTAGGAAGTTTTTAAGTTTCACAAACTCAAAAAACAATTAGACCAAATTGTTTTTCTATATATGATTAACCTCAAGCTTCTTCTCAAAGAAAGTAATTTTTCTCTCTTTTTTTTTTTTACTATTTTTCTTTTTTTTTAGTGAGAATTATTATATCTTGTTAAACATGTATTTTTTGGCTTATTTTGAATATCTAATGTCTCCCAAGTGTATTACCCTTAATTACTTTCTTAGCATGTATTCAAAGAAATATTATAATTCATCTAAAAGTTATGTTGCAGTTATAGCATTTGAATTGAGAAGCATGGACTTAAATATCTCTGATTAATTAGTTATATCTAAAGTGTGTCTTTCTCAACTGTTTAAGACTTCTTAAACTATGAGCAAGAAAAATTAGAAAAAGATGTTAAATTACTGTTAAATTAACTTTGAAACCAATTTTTTACTAGTTGCATTACTTTTTAAGTTATTATATAAATATTATTGAATTGTAAGGTATCCTAATATGATTTACTAGTATAAGGCAACATTCAAAGTTTAGATATATAAATTACTTTTAGGGAGTTGCCTATGTGAAATTTTCCCCTCAAACTTACTTCAAAGTTGCATATGATACACGAGGAAGTTCACAGTAGATTCAAGAAATACCATCTATAAATAGGGAATTTACTCAAATACTAGCATTAATACAAAAAAAAAATTAATATCACATGAAAGTACCATGAAAATCGCTTCTAAATAACAAATAATAAGGTAAACAAATAATAAAATAACATTTAATAAGGCATTTAGAAATCACAATCCTACAAAACACATAAGTCTCTACATAGTACATGTAACACATCATATCACACATAAAAGTATATCGCATATCATACCATATATGTATGTCTGCAAAGTACAACAAGAGAAATTATTGTCCATAAAAACAACAACCCAGAAATCAGTACAACAACACCTTAAAACAAAAAAAGAAAAAAAGAAAAAAAAACATCAAAAATATTCTAAGCAAATGTACTCCTCATCATCCTTATCGTCATCCTCCTCCATTGACCTGATGATATCATCATAAAGCTTAAAAGGTGAAGGAGTAGGATATGCTACAGGATGTTGCACCATGTCCATTAGTTATGCCGATGCATCTCTTGCTTCGCATCATGATATTGGGATAAATTGTCATAATGAAACTTATGCTACTAGATGTAGTGGTGTTTGCTCAACAAGATCATGAAACTCTCACTGCATAATACATGAATTTTGGGAAAGAGTTTCAAGGTGCTCCAAAATCGAGGTAATAGGTGTTGTAGGTTGAGAACGAGATGGAGTAGGTCTAAATGAACTCTCGCCTCTCTCAAAGGATGTCCTATCATATTTCTCAATACTCTACTTTGAAGTGGGTTTAAGTGGGTGCAATTTCTCTTCCTAACTCTCAAATCCAACTCGTTCCTTCAAATAAAGAGCAAAAATTCACTGAAGGATGTCCCAGTCCAATCAATAGTAGTCGCACCTTTAAGGATATTATATATAAAATTGTTGATCATACTAATATAGACTTCTCCTTCTATACATAAAGTATTTAAAAAATTCTATCTCTTGTCACCTCACTCATACATGTGGAAGGCATGAGTTTGGCATAAGTACAAAAATACCAAGTTATAGGCTCATCATTCTAAACAAGGCAGAAAAATTAATTTTTCTATCATAATGAATCATCCATACACCATGATTGTCAGTCATAAATTCTATGCTTTAAATTAGGTCAGAATTTGATAACAAAAAATTTGAATAAAAATCATTTAAAATATCAGGAAGATCAAAGAGTGAACTGATTTTTGTAGAACTGTAATGTACCTTCTTTCCTCTCATCAATACCTTCCCCCCATTTTGATGTTTAAAAATATCATAAAATTTTCTCATTATAGGAATTACTTCCACCCCCCTAGTTTCATTAAATAATTTCTCTCAATCTCTTTTTGTGATCACACTTTCCAACTTACCTGTTGGTTCAATAAACTCCCTCTCTAAAATGAAATTCTTTGATACCCAAAAAGTTATTATATATTTGGATGTAACATTAACAAACTTTTTGGTATCAAATGATGTTTTCATTTAACTACACTTAGTCTTAGATGCCATCAAGCAAGGAAGGTGGGGGTATTGAGATGAGAAAAAAAGGATATATTTAATAAGAAAAAGAAATTTACTAATAATGAAATAGTTGCACTCAGTGAAGAGTGTAGCACAAGAATTTAGAAAAAGCATCTTGAAAAACTCGAAGATCCTAATAGTTTTACTATTCCTTGTGCTATTGGCAAAAGATTTCCTAGAAAATATTTATGTGATTTGGGAGACAGTATTAATCTCATGCCTCTATCACCTACTACTGTAACTCTTCAGTCAGCTGGTCATTTGATTACCAATCCTAAAGAAGTTATAGAAGATGTTTTGGTAAAGATTGATAAATTGCATAGAAAGGAAAATTTACGATGAGAGTTAGCGATTAAGAACACATTTAATATTACAAAGTCAATTTGATATCCAGCAAAAGGAAGAGTGAATGAATGTTTTAGAATGGAAATTAATGATTATTTAAGCAATGAATATTTCATAGAGACATATGAAAAGAAAATTGAAGGAGAATATTTGGAGTATGAGAATGAGGATATAATTCAAGATGAATCTATGGAAGTGAGTAATGAAAAATTGAATTATGTTCAGGAACAATTTATATTGCTAGATCCTGCAAATGATAAAAAAAATTTGATTTCTTCAATTGTAAAACCTCCTGAACTAGAAGTGAAAACACTTCTTACACATTTAAAATATGCATTTTTAGGAGATTTATCCACATTACCTGTTATTATATCCTCAGAATTAACTGAAGCACAAGACCAAAAATTACTGGAAACTTTAAGAAGATATAAGAAAGCTATTAGATGGACGTTATCTGATATTAAGTGAATTAGTCCTTCAATTTGTATGCACAAAATTTTATTGGAAGAACTTCATGACCCAAAAGGTGATCCTCGAAGGAGATTAAACCCGATGATGAAAGAAGTTGTTAAGAAAGAAATTTTAAAATGGTTAGAAGCAGGAATAATATATCCTATTTCAGACAGTGCTTGGGTAAGTCCAATTCACTGTATTCCTAAGAAAGGTTGTGTGACTGTTGTGACAAATGAGAATAATGAATTAATACCAACAAGCCAAGTCACTAGTTGGTGAATCTGCATTGATTATAGAAAACTAAATTCCACCACCAGGAAAGATCACTTTCTTTTACTCTTTATGGACAAAATGTTGGATACGCTAGCTGAGCACAGATATTTTTGTTTTTAAGATGGATATACTGGTTATCATA